GGGCATGGCGGCATGTTCCTATAGTCCTAGCTACTCTGGAGGCTGAAGCAGAAGGATCACTTGAGCTCAGAAGTTTAACGCTGCAGTGGACTGTGATGACACCACTGCACTCCAACCCAGGCAACAGAGTTAGAACTTGTCTCTTAAAAAAAAAAAAGTTCTAAATTTAATATATATCACTTTAAAATGTTTAATACCTACAGCCACATGGAAGAAATGTGCTATTCAACAAAAGATGAGAAACATATAAAAAAAGTTAAACCAACAAATTGAAAAATTAGTTATTTGTCCATATAAAAAGAATGAACAAAATGCATGTCAAAGATTATAAATGCCACCTGCAAGCTTATACTATATCAACTCTACTATTAATACAGAAAAATGTATTTGAACCATCAAAAGCCTAATTTACTTACAGAGTAAATGTAGTAGTGAATGTCAGAGCATCACCATTAAGAGAATTTGAAGTACTTGCTAATGGTGTGGCTACCATATTTTCAGCTCCTGCTTTTAGAATAATTAAGTAATAGTAATTTGCTGCATCTGCAAGAAGTAATCACATTACATAATTAGCACAAGCAAAATCAGATTTCGCTAATCAGCATTCTGAAATACCCAAGGAATAAAGTAATACTGCAACTGATTTATATAAAATTTATTTTAAAAATTACTATAATCAACTTTTCAGACACAAAAAGCTAAATAAAGACCTAAGCAGACAGCCAGAATCCTGGAATAAGCATCACCAAGGTCTCTCCCTATTATGTCAATTGAAATCATTTGCTCTACATTTCTCAACTTCTGCTGACTTTGAATTTTATCTCCTTTAATTCTTAGCTAATAAAATAAACCTTAAAACGGTAAATTATAATTTGCTATTCAAACTGAGGTTAAAATACTGTATCTCTGTAAAAGCTACTCAGAGATCAATTACAATAAAAACATAAACTATTTCTCTATTTGTAATGACCACATATCTCAAGGTACATACTAAATGACCAATAGAATTCTGCCCAGATCCCACCAAAACCAGACAACAGCAAGAATTAGAATCTAAATTACCTTATTCCTACAAAAATGCTCAAACTTTAAGATCTCCATTCTTTACTTTCCCAATACCTAAAATTCACTTGTCACCTATGTTTAGCCCTCCTTTCCCTCAAAGAGTGTTCCACACAGATAATAATTTTTAAAAACCTCTAAAACTCATACCTAACACATTCAATAAAACTTTTATGTTCCAAATTAGATTTAACTAGCCTTACTTTCAGTTAGAGCCATGTCCATTATTGTGTGGATTGGTAACCCTATATATGAAATTCTTCCGTATTTTTTATACACATATCTTTTTTTTTCATTTCAGGTTTGTTTTTAATGTCATTTTTGTAAAAGCCAATGAGCAACTAAGTCATCATTAAAAATTAAATACTTAACATAATTTATATACATATCTTGATAAAAGGAACAAAAAGCTCAAGATACAAGGTTTGTACTTCTTTATTTCTTTGCATCTTTATGCATGCATTACTTGTTCCTCTCTTGTATGATATAATTCCTATCTAGGTAAGGTTCATAATTTAACATATGATCTAAAAGTGATACAAATAAAAATCACCATACCTGGTTTCTGAACTGTACTGCAGACAAAATCTGCTTTTAGAGGCAAGCGAATTTCTGACAAAGTAACTGATCCTTTGGATGGGACGAATTCACTTTTGGATATGGCCCCAGCATTATTCTTCCTCTGAGGTCCTTCACTCTTCAATTTATTCAGCTCGTCAATCAAAAGTGTTCTCTTCTCAGCTATGTGAAATATGCAAGTTAATGTTTCAGATATTAAAATCGCAACTGTTTCTAAGTGAGAGGCAATTCAAGAAAGTGTACTGGTGTGGTAATTGTACATAAGACCAAGACAAAATCAAAAACACTTTCTTTATACAAACAGAGGTAGGTGGTTGGGTAAAACCTTGATTGCTCGCCTGTTTACCAAGTCCTAATAATTTAATACTTCAACTTTTGGTCAGTCTTCTTGTGTGGCCATCTCCCCACCGAAACAGGCCCTGTTGTCACCACACATACATAACAAAATTCATAGAAGTTGTTTTAGCTATTTATAGATAGGGAGAGAAAGAGAGAGAATGTATACATGTGTATATGTGTGTATGCATATATACATTCATTCATTCTCAGAATATTCTTCACAACTGCATTTCTTCAAAAGTATTTCAGTTGCTTTTACCTCGAAAACTACATTTTATTTTACATGGAGAGTTCTTACAACCTTGTAAGTACAAGAAACAAAAAA